TGCTAAAATGTTGTATAAGATATCTTAGAAAAGGAAATAAAATATTAAATTATGTGCCTAGATATGCACTATAGGGCTTGACCTATTTCAATTAAGCCTTATTGCAAGTCATTGTGTTGATATCAAACTAGAAAGAAGTTAAGTACAATAAATCCATGATCCTAAACAGTTATCAAAATGCAAATATAAAGTGCAAAATGCATATAATAATAAATATATGATATTATGAAACTAGTCACTACAAGTTGACTCAATGTAAACCTAGGTAGAAAAGAACACCACATCAAGGTTTATGCAAGATGTTCTAAATTGAAAATTTGCTAAGAGCAATTTGAACCAACCAAATAAAAATAAATTTTAAGTTTTTAAAATTTAACAAAATAATTTTGAAGAATGCATTACCAAAACTAAGAAATGCAAAATCTAGAAACACTCAAAGTACCTTGAAAAGCATTAAAATTAAATTGTATTATTTGAATTTTAAATCAAAGATTTCTTCAATTTGAAATTTTAAAAGTCAAACTTCTAGGGTATTTTGAATAAAAGTCAAAATATAAATTATAATTTTCTTTATTCGGTGAATAGTTAAAAAAACAATTATGTAATTACAAAATTTCAGATAATTAATTAACTCATAACAAATCTAATTTATTGATACATCAAATGTTTTTATTTAAGCCACTTAATAAGTACCTAGATATTTACTTCATTTTTTAGGAATTATTAATTATTTTTCATAATTAAAACCAAAAAGAAAAAAAAATATAAATAAGATCAAGTACAACAACAACAACACCAAGCCTTTATCCTACTAAGTGGAGTCGACTACATAAATTTTTTTTCTACATTGTGTTTTATTGAGTGCTATATTTTTATTTAATTCTAATAAATTAAGATTATTTTCTTATACAACATGCCCAATTCTTCTTAAGTCTACCTCTTCCCTTCTTAACATAAGTCAAATATAAAACATATATTTTCTTAATCGTTTCATCAAATGCTCGACATTGAATGTGACCAAATCATTTAAGGCAGCTCTCTGTAATCTTACTTATCACTGAAGCTACACCAACACTTTCACAGATACATTTATTTTGTATTTCTTCATTAAGTGGCAAGTCACACATCTATCTAAGTATTTTCATCTCAGCAGCACTTAACTTAGTTTTATGCTTCTCTTTTATGGACCAACATTCTATGCCCTAAAGAATTGCAGGTCTCACCACCATCTTGTAAAATCTTCCTTTGATTCTAATCTATAATTTTCGATCACACAAAAGCCTTGGTACATTCCTCCACTTCAACCATCCAACTTGAATTCGACTAATAACATCCTCATTATATCACTGTCACTTTGAACAATAGACCCGAGATATCTAAAACGTTCACTCTTTTTAATGATTTGAAGGCCTTTAGACTATAATGTAGACCTCCATAATTCATGTTTTTTTCCTGAACTTTTTCTCTAGTCTTATCCACAAAAAGTATATCAACAACAAAAATCATACACCCAGGTACATCCTTCTGTAAATGTCCAATAAGAGCATCCATAACTTTAAAAAAATAATATGGGCTTAAAATCGATCCTTGATTAAATCCAACTAAAATAGTAAAATACTTGATCAATCCTCCTTCTATTTGAACACAAGTAACAGCTCTAGTATACATATCGTTAACGACTTGAATATAAGTTTTATTAATACCGTTTTTTTCTAAAACTCTCCAAAGAACATTTTTTTCAACCTTATCGCATGCTTTTTTTAAATTAATAGAAATCACATGCAAAACAACTAAGTCAAAAAATTCTAAAATATTCAATGATGTTAGTTATTTATCTCAAGATCCTATGATGGTCCAATCAAATCATAAATAATCAAATCCAGAAAAATATAGTATTTTTCATAATTAAAAATGAGGATTCTACTATTAAAAAATCATCCATTATGAGTTAAGTTAAGTCATGCAATTATATTAAATTTTTTATTTATCCTAGTTTTAGAAATTAAAAAAAAAAGTATTTTTAAGATTTTTTTAAAACCATAATTTGACTTTAAGGAAATTCCACTAATGTATGTAATTATGCAAATGTCCATTTAAAATAATTTTATTTTTTTTAAAAGGTATTTAAGGCATTTTTCCATGACTAATTTTAACTAATGCATATTTCATTAATAAAAAATTACCTTAAATAATTTTTACAATATTAGGAGAAGATTCAAATAGTTCAATAAGCACATGAATCAAACTCAGCTATATGAATGCATGAAGGGCAAAATGATAATTTAAAAAAATATCAATTTTCTCATGTAAAAATTCAAAGCCCATTCACAAAACATAGAGAAAATCCATAGCATGCCACACCTTTGTATAATTTAACTAAGGCTAGCTATATTGAGCATGTATGCGAAATGATTTTTAAATGGTAAACTTTGCATATAAAAATGTCAAAATGAATCACATAGTAATTATTAATCCAAACTAAAAATTTCATAGGTTGGGTTTGATCTCATTAACATCCCATAGATGTTTCAAAATCAGTGATGGGTCGAACGTTAATAGACAAATAAAATAGAGAACAATTAACTTTTAATAATTAAATTATCAAGTAATTACATTGGAGCATTTTCCTTAAACCTTATGCCTTATTGTATCTTAGGATAAAATTTCAAAAGATTTAACTCTCAAACAAAATTTAAGGAAAAATCTAAGGAAAATACATAATACGACCAAATTACGTTATTGTGGATGGTAAATTAACAGGCCAATTTAATTATCACCATCGATTAATTGGTTAAAAATGAATAAATGGTTCTGATTTCATTTACCCCAAAGTGAGCACATTCAGCTCAAGATGTTGGGTTGTGTCAATGGAAATTCAATGACTTCAACAAGGTCATTTTAACTTCATAATGGATAGATTTAACAGATATTTACCACAATAGCTTGAGGAGAACAAAGGCTATATGTGGAAAGAAGCCACTCAACTAGTAGTGGCCCTACCCACCACACACCAACAAACCTAAGGTTGATTGAGGTTTCAATTTAAGATCTTTGTGACTAAATGGCTTGATGATTTTGATCTCTTATCTTCACCAAGGTTACT